TCGGTATAAGAGTAGGCCGTAGTGCCGCTGTACGGGCAAAATTTCCCTTATAGTGCACACTGTATGGCGTATGTCCGTCTCCATTAGCACAGTTCGGAGCAGAACAGTAGGACGTTAAACCCCATTTCATTTTCTTCATAAATGTAACGTTTAGACAGACACGGGTATCATCGTTGAATCGTTGCATGTTAATAAACCAGTAAACGATTTTCCATAAGAGAGAGAGAGATAGAGAGAAATGGGGTTTAACGTCCACTCGACACAAACTAGGGCATTTCGGGACTAACATATGGTTTAATTTTATTTCAATAATTCGCTTGTGAGTAGGGGTCTTTAGCAGTGGGAGGAAACCGGAGGACCCGGAGAAAACTCACGAGGTTGGACAGGCGACCCTACTCCTTGCCACGTACAACCGGGGATTCGAAACCACGCCAGTCGACTCAATGGCAGACTTTATGGTACAGCGCGCGCACGCTAACCATTCAGCTACCCCCCCCCCCGATTTTCCATAAATAGCCGTTAGTGTTTTAATTCGATTACTCATAGGCGTAGGGGTGAACCGTCCATTTTTCGGGCACAAACAACAGCCTCCCCCCCCTTACGCCTATGGAATTACTAAAAGCCACTCAAAGAAAGACACTATTTTAAATTGGAATGATTGAAAAAGTATAGTACCTATATCATAACCATAAACTCAGGTGGGTGTGATGTGACCTCTCGGTCCGGCAAAACATGGTTTGACCTTTTTTTACAGGCAGTGTGAAGTTAGCTCGATTTCCGTTTTTCGATATTGGTCAATACCGAAAAATGAATATCTCATTTTTCGATATTGAATCCCAAAAAGCAGATTTGATGGATGTATAGCTACAACATGTCTCAAAAACAGATTTGATTAAATAAGTTATCTAAAACGAACTAAAGATATTATAAATGAGGATGCCTGGGCAGTGGATTCACATAAAAAATATTCTTTCTCATTGTTTTTATGATATTGGCGAATATCGGAAAAAGAGTAACGAGTTATTCGTTTTTCGATATTTAAACTTAAATCTCAAAAAAGCAGATTTGATGGATGTATATCAGTGCCTGATATAATCCTAGACTTGTGATTAAAGTCCGAATATCGAAAAAGAGTATCTAATTTTTCGTCATTATCTAATATTAAAAAAAAACAAAAAAACAAAGAGAAAGTGCAGTTTTAATCAAGATTTCTAAAACGAAGTAAAAATACCAAAATGAGGATTGAGAAATGAGGTTTAACATCCACACGACACAAACTAGGTCATTTCGGGACTAACATATGGTTTAATTTTATTTCAATAATTCGCTTGCGCGTAGGGGTCTTTAGCAGTGGGAGGAAACCGGAGGATACGGCTGGCAAAATAGAAATGAAATGAAATGAAATGGGGTTTAACGTCCTACTGTTCTGCTCCTAACCCGGGCTAATGAAGACGGGCATACGCCATACAGTGTGCTATGAGGGAAATTTTGCCCGGGCAGCGACACTATCGCCTACTCTTATATCGAATTCCAACTTTTACGTGCATTCCAATGTATACACGGGCCCTCGGTTTTTCGTCTCATCCGAAGGACTAGACAGCTGTCCTTGTCAGGCCCCCCCGTCCTGCATCACTGACAAGGGGGAACCACGCCGGAAAATCTGGATGAACTTTCTCGGCCAATGCAGGGATCGAACACCCGACCTCCAGGCTAGCGACCCAGCGTCTTACCCACTTAGCCGCGTGATCCCCTTCTTACAAATAAAATTGAAATTTATATCATTCTATTGTACACTCAAACAATCAATAACGTGTAAATAAAGAAAATATATTGTACAATACAGTGTGCAAATAGACTAAAGTCACGAAAACAAAAATTGATCTTAGTAAATCATGTCAAAACTGGGCTAATGTATTATGTAAAGACAATTTTTTTCAGTTGTTGTATATCGTAATTACATACATATCAGTAATTGTTTTATAATAGGCCTACATGGGAAATAAATTTATTGCACGTTGTCTTTTTTATCACACATTTATGGGCAGATAAAATATTCCAGTTGGCGGGGTAAAAAATGAATATTTTTGTATATAAAAATTATCATCCAATTTGGCGGAAGAAATATTGAAAGCCAGTGTGAGCCATGCATTCGTCAATATCAAAAGGAAGGAGAATCTGTATTTTTTGAGTGAACCCACTGCTTAGGCATGGTCTTTAGAAACTTTTTGTTATCAAATGTGTTTTAGAGACTTTCTGTAAATATAATCCATTAAATCTGCCTTTTTTAGATTCAAGTTTGAATATGAAAAAATAAGGAGAAAGAGTATTTTTATGTGAATCCACTGCTCAGACATACTCTTTTATGATATCTTTAGTTCGTTTAAGAAAACTTCTTTAATCAAATGTGTTTTGGAGACAATCTGTAGATATACATCCATCAAATCTGCTTTTTTGAAATTCAGGTTTGAATATCGGAAAACGAGTAATTCGCCAATATATAAAAAAAAACCCAAGCTACTTGTTTTTCGTTATTCGCCAATATCGAAAAACGAGTAGCTCGTTTTTTGGATATTCACCAATATCAAGAAACGAAAATCTAGCTACCTTCACACTGCCTTTTTATAACCCGTACTACGTTCACATTATTTGAACGGTGGACCTACAATTTAGAGTGAAGATGTCAAACATCCATTTTGTACGACAGGTGAAATGGTAATGATATAGTTTTGGGATTATTCCACTTTAAATTGTGAATTCATTTTTTCTGGGCCAATCTGATTAAAATACAGATCTATATTTCGTTTCGTTTTTTTATACTTTCGATGGCCAAAACTACATGAAGATCTGACAAGTTATAGTGGGAGTTCATGTCAGGGGGTCAAACGAGCGGCTTTTGACCCTATGACGTCAGACTTTAAATAATCAATCAGTGTTGACGTTTCTAGTGGTTTACCCAATGTTTCGTGCACCAAAAGGTCAAGAGCTGGCCGTAACAGGTCGTTTCATTGGCTAATCCCTCACATCAGCCAGAACACGTCAATGAGAACAACTCTTCCAGATCCTAGTGTAGTAAAGACAAGAAAAACGAAATTTTGAACTATAAAAACGAAACGAAATAGGATCTGTTTTTTAATCCGATTTTTTCTGTGCATCCTGATATTGTTCTAGTCGTCAATCTGATGAGAGAACCAGACCGCTCTATCTCCACCTGCTTAAGACATAGAACTGTCTGACTCCAAGAATTAAGATACTAATTCTTATGTAATTTTTCCATCTGCAACCACGAAACTCTGTTTTCCTATGGAAGACCTAACTGAGGACAAAATAAATGTTATTATTGAGAAGCCCGTTCAGTTTTGCCGACTGTCACTTACGATGTATTTCAGCAATATATATATTTTCACGCCTTCAGGGCTGAGATGGTTCAACGTATCACTCTTTCAGATGAAACCCTGGATTAAATATATCGTTTCTGTAAATACGTCACAGTGCACCAAATCAGTCCATGTTTCTACTTGTCGGAGTTGCGTTCTGGTCTGATGGAGTTTAAATGCTGATCGGAAAAAAAAGTCAGATTTCATCGTCTCTGCAACAGAATTTCACAGATTTTCGCGGTGGAGGATCCTGGGACATACTCAACCACGACCGTAGAGCCCCCGTCCCGTTCCCACTGACCAGCGGATTTTCCGGCACCCTTAGAGGCATGATATAGTTAAGAGTTTGGTTATGTTGATATATACGGGGAGAGAAAGAGAAATGGGGTTTAACGTCCACTCGACACAAACTAGGTCATTTTGGGACTAACATATGGTTCAATTTTATTTCAATAAATCACTTGCGCTTTGGATCTTTAGCAGTGGGAGGAAACAGGAGGACTCGGAGAAAACCCACGAGGTTAGACAGGCGACCATACTCCTTGTCACTTACAACCATAGAAACGAAACCACGTCAGTTGACACAATGGCAGACCTTATGATACAGCGCGCACACGCTAACCATTCGCCCCCCCCCCCACCCCCAGCATAAAGCTCAAGAATTCCACGCTTAACCTCATGTATGGTTTTTGAGCAAGACGTAGCCACATGTTGCTCCATATATGGTCGAAAGATTTTAATCCAACGGAAATGGGGAAAGCATATGTTGGCCGGCAGTTAGGAGCCCAGTGCTCCTAATCCTGGGACCTTATTCACGAGATCTTAAACTAAAATATATTTCAACAATTCAGCATTTTCATTGGCTAAGAATTAAAATCCTAGTACAAATACTAGCTCTTTAACCAATGAAAAAGAACAAATCTTAAAATATTTTAATTTAAAATTTCGCCCATTCAGACGCTTAAGTTGAACTGGTTTAAAACCCCGGGGATCGTTAAACCAGTTTAATTTTGTTGTCTGAACGCAAATGTGGGGCAAATAAACCAGTTTAGAAACCCCAGCTCGCGACCTGTCTTCGACAAGCCTTTTTATTTTAACTGGTTCATCTTGACCGTCTGAACAGGTTGGCTTAAAATCCCAGGCTTCAGCTCGCTTTGGGCATGCGCAGTATTTTACATTCCTGGGCAAATGGCGGCGCCATGCAGTGCCATTGTTATCGAAAGCGTGCGATAACCGAATAAAGAATATGAAGCTACCCATGCGTAGTTATCTATAACCGCCGACCGTAGAGGTCAGAATAGTTAAACTGGCTTGGCTTATAGTACGTGTGAACACAACACGACCCTGCCTTAAAAACCCAGGTGATTTTGAACCGGTTTTAAAATAAGCGTCAGGGCCCTTATTCACGAAAACTTAAACTAAGATACAATCGAAATTTTAAGAAATACTGCAATTCGATTGGCTGACCAGTAAAATCAATTTGCATATATCCAATGAAGTTGCAGTATTTCTTAAAATTTCGGTTGTAACTTAGTTTAAGTTATCGTGAATAAGTGCCCTGGACGGTATAATAGGCGCTTGATTGTAAGCATAATCTTAAAAAAAATCACAGAACGAGAGTTTATAAGAAATTGATTTTTATTGTAATATCATGTGATATACACACATCATGATCTAAATACTGATGAGAGAAAACCTTAATATGACTTCACCTAACAGTCAAAACTCCTTTTTTTTAAAATAGTGAATTCAATATACATGTATATACACAAAAATATAAAAGTTTTTGAAAAAAAAGAACTTCATTATTTGTCGATTACTAGCTCTTCAGGTAAACAACATTCAGATAATACAAAAATGACTATGACGTCATAGTGACATAGTAACGTAATAGTCCAAGGTCAAACACGTCATAGTCATTGTTGTATTATCTGAATGTTGTTCACCCGAAAAGCTTAATAAAATAAGCGAAAGTGCTAGTAATCAACAAATGATGTAGTTCTTTTTTCAAAAACTTTTATATTTTTGAGTATTTAATAACTAAGAGTAGTTATCTTTAACTTTTCATACACGTATATATTGATAAATACTGGTAACCCCCTTTTTTTTAAATATTGAATTCAATATACATCTATACATTGATAAACACTCGTAATAATTTCAATTTGGGTATCGAGTTAAAACTCAGCTTAACTTGATAAGACACTGAAAAATAACACAACCGTTTATGACGTCATATCCACCTCTTCCACGTCACTACGTGTAATATGACCTTATATAGCACGTAAAATGGCGGACAATAGCACGTTCTGTTAAGGTTCCCAAACGTCCTATGGAATCTCAATAATCAATCTGATTAAAACACAGATCGTATTTCGTTTCGTTTTTTATAGTTCAAAATTTCGTTTTACTTGTCATTACTACACTAGGATCTGGCAGAGTTCTTATAATACCGGCGTTTTGGCTGAAGGGAGGGATAAGCCAATGAAACAGTCTGTTACGGCGACTTCTTGGCGTGCCATGCACGGAACTGTGGGTAAACCACTAAAAACGCCAACGCTGATTGATTAATCAATGTCTGACGTCATGGGGTTAAGAGTTGCTTGTACGACGTCTGACACTATCTTCGAATACAACTTGTCAGATCTTCATGTAGTGTAGGCCATCGACAGTATAAAAAAACTAAACGAAATATAGATCTGCATTTTAATAAGATTGGTCAATAATGTAATAACAAACAATTTAGCAACACAAAACAAAAATTAAAGATGGGTTTCTCCGAAATAATTATTTTTCCCCTCTATTTTGTAATTCGGACAACATATTTTTTTATCATAAAATACAGTTCTTTGGAGGAAGATGAAATTAAAAACATTAACGTATTAATATGCAACAGGCCTTGCCTGAGTAAAGCAAATCCGATTGTTGTCAAATATGAAACCTTCATAATTAAGCCTATCAAGTAATGCAAAAAATTTCGTTTCATGTGAAATTCGAATTGTATGAATATTTGATTCATTTTGTTAAAAATCAACATGTGTGAGAATTAATTAGCTAAAGCGAGATTTGGTACAGGGGACATAACTGACTATGCTGACATGCGCATTGAATGTTTTCCAAGTGTATCCGGTTCCGGTCCGAATGTTTCTTAAGTAAACAGTCTATGACAGTTTCAGTAACACTTACACTCCTGTGTTACACCCCTGTGCTTTGTTTAAGCGTTCGTTCGTTCGTTCCTACAGTTTTACGTCCACTTCCACCAGGGGGTTGGATGGCCGAATGGTTAGCACGCGCGCTGTATCATAAGGTCTGTGATTGAATCAACTGGCGGGGTTTCGATTCCCCAATTGTACGTGACAAGGAGTAGGGTCGCCTGTCCAACCTTGTGGGTTTTCTCCGGGTCCCCCGGATTCCTCCCACTACTAAAGACCCCTACGCGCAAGCGAATGATTGAAATAAAATTGAACCATGTGTTAGTCCCGAAATGACCTAGTTTGTGTCGAGTGGACGGTAAACCCCATCTCTCTCTCTCTCTCCCTCTCTCTCTCTCCACTGCCACCATAGGTGATAGAGGAAGCGAAAAGGAAATGAAATGAAATGGGGTTTAACGTCCTACTGCTCTGCTCCTATACTGGGCTAATGAAGACGGGCGTACGCCATACAGTGTGCTATGAGGGAAATTTTGCCCGGGCAGCGGCACTATCGCCTACTCTTATATCGAATTCCAACTGCCAAGGGATCCTTTACGTGCATTCCAATGTATACACGGGACCTCGGTTTTTTCGTCTCATCCGAAGGACTAGACAACCATAGGAGAAAGGCTTGATCCAGTTGGATTTGTCTTTTAAGACATAGTGTCTTTGCAGGGGAATGCCCAAAGTAAATCTCGTCGAAAGGAAAAAGTTCGGTTTGTTCAAGCACTGCGCTTTGGTCTATATAACAACAGTGGCCTGCAGAGGTTGGCTGGCCCATTAAATATACTACCATCCCCTCCCTACTCGCCATGACAGAACAAACACTAATTAATGAATCCATTTAGAAATTGAATCCGACTTGTCTATCGACGTACCAAGCTTTAATCTAGATAAAAATCATTAAACTAACACAGTTATTTTTCGCTTCATATGTCATGGAACAAATTGCATCCTACTTCTAATTATATATTATTCACTCTACAAATTGAAAACTCCAGTAACAATCTCACAAAAAACAATATGTAACATTGGTAATGAATACCGAATTATTTATTAATAAATAATAATTAACAATCATATTTCACTAAATAATATATAACATTATATTTCGCTTTATGATTCAACTATCAACAATCAAACGAATCAACAATTAAAAATCTTTAGAGACTATATTATATATTATATATATCTACACTACCACATATAATTGTATATGACACAACGACTGATTGTATTCAATTAAAACCAATTAGATTTATAATGAATCACACATAATATGATAAAACAAAAACAATAGTTTTATATGGACCAGGAACGTTGTCCCCACCATCTTGGAATTGTGACGTCATATCAAAATTAGTGTCATGCCATGTTTCATGACGATTGTACTTGAATTGGCGTAGTCGTGGGAGTTTTTCCAAAGAACTAAGCCCCTCGTGCAAAAGAAGAAGAAGAAAATCTCCATTTTCGCGACCAAGAGCTGCGTAGCTACCCCCCCCCCCCCCGTGTCTAAAGCCTCAAGTAATGGCTATATAGAAATAGGAATGCCCCTCAACCAGGCGCCATCTTGCAGAACATTTGGACACACGAATGTGGAGAGAGTTAAGATTTCGTATTCGAGATACAGCTTTAAGGTTTCGTATTTGGGGGGAATTTTTGTTTATTGTTGTGTTTTTGGAGGATTCATAAAAAAACACTTAAGATTCAGCAATCAATTAAATACTGGTCCAAGATCAAAAACACAAAAAAGTTCCTGAACCAAGTACGCACAATAACAGTTGGCATCTATTCTACTTTCATTTTTATATTTTTTTAAAACGGTTTAATATTTTTTTAGAAAACAAAACAAATAATATTTATTGAGAAATTAATTTTACGCACATATGTTTTGCAACACACATTTTAGACCATACAAATATATTCTTGCTTTAATTTTTTTGTATTAAAATGTGCCCCATTGCCAATGCAGTCTCATTACGCATGACAGACAGATTGCGACACAATTATCTTGAAATAATTTTAAGCTTACATTTGTACAAATATCCTGTGCACATTAATGTACTATTGCCACATTAATAACCGTCGCATACCAGGCAATGCCAATTTAAATGGAAAATTTTCACAGTTCACATTACCATTACGATTTATCACCCAGGGTACTATAGTGTTCATCAATCAATCAGTGAAAACATTTCGTCAGTAATAAACAGTAATTGTATATTCCATAGTCAGCAATTGTATTCCGTATTCAATAGTCAGCAATTGTATTCCATAGTCAGCAATTCAGCAATTGTATTCCATAGTCAGTGACGGTGCATCAACAATCTATGTATGTAATTTTCATTTGAAATAAGCGGGAAGATTGTCTTAGGAGAAAAAAATCTTTATAGTGAGAACGCGTTTGATTGAATTTATCACAAATGTTCATTTTCCCCCTTGATCAATCAACCTAGGAAATATCATTCCATAGTTCACAATATATAAATCACAATTTAAAAATCAACCCATATCAGATTTAATAATTCACATTTTAATAATTCACATTTTAATATTTCACATTTTAATAATTCACAAATTTATAATTCACAATTTAATAATTAACAATTCAATAATTCACAATTTAGTAACTCACAATTTAATGATTCGCAAAATAAAAGTTCACAAATTAGTAACTCACAATTTAAAAATTCACAAATTAGTAATTCACAAATTTAAGAAACAAATCGTTCACAAAAATCAACAATTTTATAACCATTTAATACAATTGTTAAACTATAATAAATTGAGAAACTGAAAGTAGCAGGAATCCTTTACGAAGCACACATCACATGCGTGTAAAACAAACGGCTAAATATTACCAATAGCAATTAACGAAATCAATATTTTCAAATTTTTATTCATGAATCAATTTCATCTGTGATTAAATCTATTGTGATATTCAATTTTCACATTAATTTGATATTAAAATAATGAAGGTGTTGTTTGTCGGGCATTAAACTCACTTAGAATAGATTAGAATCAATCAATTATATAATTGTTTTCTAAAGCCCTACATTATGTCCAAAAGTCATTTCTAAGCGCTTTACAAAACTCTCACAGTTTGCGTAATAGCACAGTTAAATTGGTAAAAAGACGAGTTTTCAATGCTGTCTTAAAACCAGCGAAACGTTTTCAAAAACAAAAATGTACAACAATTTATGTATAAGAAAGGGCTAGGGATCCTGCTTTTTTTTTTGGGGGGGGGGGGGTCCTGCTTTGGGTAAGGAGGGAGTGTTTTCCTGCACGTTACCGAAGAAGCAGAACAAACGAAGGGAGATGCGATCGAAAATAACAATTTTCTGTTTCTTTCAATGGCACATTTACATTTTCTGAAAGTGCCTTTAAAATATACAATTTTAATATGTATTTTAAAATAAGTATAGTATATATTGTAAGTAATGATTTATACACATTTGAATGTTATATATATGTTTTTATATATATAGTTATAAATGGCTTATAATATGTCCATTCTACATTGTAATGGGTTATACACATTTTAAAGTAATATATACAGACACAGATGGAATTCGATATAAGAGTAGGCCGTAGTGCCGTTGTCCGGGCAAAATTTCCCTCATAGCACACTGTATCGCGGATGCCCGTCTTCATTAGCCCAGTCAGAGCAGAGCAGTGGGGCGTTAAACCCCATTTTGAGTCATTTCCTTTATTAATACTAAAGGGATTGAACCATTTATTCTACTTTTACAATATTGTAGTTTGCAAGAGATTAACAAACCCTTAAATGACGTACAGATACTTTAAAGGGATTAGATTACAACCCCTACTAGGCTATATCTATTTACCCTATTTACATCTCCATAAATAATTTAAATATATATACATAAACAAATCGAGATATCAATATACAACGCTAATCACGTGTCCAGCAATAACCTCCTGGGGCCTGTTTCAAAAATTTTAACTAAGATAAAATCCGAATTTTAGTAATTTGATTTGATATTAGATTGAAGTATCTACTAAAATTTGGAGTTTATGTTTAGTTAAGATTTCGAGAAACAGGGCCCAGAACATAACACAAAGTATTAGATAAGGCCAAAAAAAAAAAAAAAAGAATAAAATAAAATAAAATAAAATAAAAAATGTCAATTACCTGTGTTAACGGTGACGCGACCCTAACTATACATGTATTCCTTTTTTTCCCAGGTGCCATAAATCGTCTTGGCGAGATTTTCTTCAGACAAATTCCAACACGGAAATTTCCGTATTAACTAGCTACAGCGTGAATCGGCATTGCTTCAAGAGCCTTATTCAGTAATCAAGCAATAAATACTATTACTAGGGGAAAAAATAATAAAAGTATTTAAAATTACACGACTAGGGCTTTTAGCTAGTATCAATGTGGGTTATTAAAATTAATTAATTTCATTTACACTACAAAACCCTCGAAAACAAACCCACAAGTAAAAGATTTTCCGACCGACTGCCCGTCCGACCCTTTAACCACAATCACAGGCATTGTTTTTTTGGCCTTATATAAACACTTTAATATACATCGCCCAATGAATAATATCAATGGTGCTTTGTATAATTTTAAAATATTGTTGTTCAGGACAGATTCAAACACATCCAGCATCAGTACAATAAAGTTAATGGCACATATTTTTTCGTCTTAACATACGACTCCTATATTTCTTAAAGAAACGTTTATTTGACAGGCATAGAAGCCAGACGAACCAAGATGGCGGAATACCTTACAGAAGATTATCTTCATGTCAGTGCGAGCCGTGAACATTAAGAGTGCGGATCGCAGTAAATCAAATTATCGGGATGATTACTAAGTTCTGTAACGTACAGTGATACGAAACTATTCAATAAAAGCGACATTATTAAGAAAAACTCGCTCGAGAAGGCCACCTGATCCCTTTTCCCGCCATTAATACGTTACGTCTGCAATTATCGGTCACGTGACCCCCACGGCTGTATACAAAAGTTTGATTGGGAAAGATACTGTTGGCGAAATTCAGTTAAGGAAATTGTCGATTGGTCTTGGTAATCTTGTTTGTCCGCGAATAGTACACAGGGAAATAAGATTTATCCAGTATAGCATTTCTCGTTCAATAGACAGCGTGGGGTTAATGGATTTAAAAAGAAAATGTAATGCAATCTTCTAGCCATCTACGACGATCACAAAAGCTCCGTAAAGAAAATCTAATTCTATTCTAATACATCATGCGTTTGTGGTAAGTTTCAATCTGCTAATGTAGTGTAACCTACACATGCCTACTGAAGGTCATCGATTATTACTTGTACTGGTCTTGAACCCGGCCCAAGACGTGGCCTTTTGGGTCCACGAATTATTTTTTTTGTTTTATTCAGCAGACTTTTGTTCATACATCAAAAACTGTTTAAATTTAGAAAAAAAAACATCCTTTAAACGGCGGGTATATCAATATTATTAAGAAAAATTTACAATTTCGTTTCTTTTCTGATTTTGAACAATTTCCCATGAGCATGACCTTCCGCTACGACGATTTTCATATATATCAGAAAATCGTATTCGAAACCGCTCTGAATCTATCCATATAGTCTTTGTCATAATTCACAACAATAAGCAGCCCTGTATATCAATCAATCGAATGATCGAAACACCGCCGACTTCAAACAAAAACTTTTCGGGACATAAAATTAAGAATGGTAAATTAAGTGTTTGATATTAAGGGTCATCCAAACAATTTATTAATAATTTCACTCCTCGGGTGCGTTAAATGCTCGATTATTTTACTGTGTAGGCCCCTTACCCTTTGACAATCATTATGGTGGTCTGGTGTAGCCAAATAGGTTGATTCCACGATCCATAGTTTGATTCTGCTCATTCAAGTTCCGGGGCTAACACAGTGTAGGCTACGAAATTATTTCAATAATTCGGATGAGCGTTGGAGACCCCGAGAAAACCCACGAGATGGGCCAGACGATCCTACTCCTTGTCACGTACGACAACGCTGCTTGAGTCAATGACAGTCCTTCTGATATAAAGCGCAAACGATAGCCCACTCGAACCCACCCCGCTTAATTCGAAGAGAGTTGAATAATAATAATAAAAAATCAAACACCCGATTAACCCCTTCCATATTTTTCTATCGATGTTAATGATTGGCCCGTATACCAGTAAACTTTCATGGATTTCGTCCATACTGGAATTTTGTAAATTGTAATAATATATTATAAGCCATCGTGTCAATATGATTTGTTCAGCAATGTATTCGAATGAGATCAGATTTGTTTATAAGATATGTCAGTAAACACAAACGATAATTTCAGATATATTTTTAAATGCCTAGAATAGTAAATTAATCTCAAAAATCTCCACCGCCATCTTTCATGTAGCTATCTTTAGATTCCTTCTGGACCAATTCTTCCCTAGTTTCGTAAACAGGCGATTGGTTGGGCGATGTGTTGTAATCGATTGATTCATTTTGCATGGCTCCGTACTTTTTGTAGGTGAAATTGTTGCTGTCGGGATGAAGAATTTGTTCAGGGCGCCATGTTTCTTCAGCAGGCGGATCCGCCCAGGGCTGCTTCTCACCGGAAGCGAATATGGCGTAGAATACGACTCCAGTGAAATGGATCATGCTGGCAATTAGAAAAACATACTGCCACTCTCTTGTCGCCTGTAATGAAGAACAGGGGCATTTTAAAAATTTAATTTGAACGTTTATTTTTGCCAATTTGAAAATCTTTGAAACCTTGGCAAAATGATAAGCATTAATTTATTTATCGATTTAGTATTTTAATATTCAACATATCCTGCAAAATAATTACAAAATTCAACCCTTTTCAGATAAATTTCACCAAACAGTACTTACAGTTTCAAAATCTCGCTCTTGGCCTTTAGTAATACTTTGTACAACAATAGGGCACAGCATACCGGACAGTGTACCAACACTATTAGACAGTCCCATTAATATACTAGCATACCGAGGTGCAATATCTAGATGGTTTACATTAAATCCTGAAAAACATCGAATTATAAACATTAATATACTGGCATATGGAGGTTCAAAATGAAATGAAATGAAATCGGGTTTAACGTCCTACTGTTCTACTCCTGTACTGGGCTAATGAAGACGGGCATACGCCACACAGTGTGCTATGAGGGAAGTTTTGCCCGGGCAGCGGCACTATCGCCTACTCTTATATCGAATTCCAACTGCCAAGGGATCTTTTACGTGCATTCCAATGTATACAGCGTCTTAACCACTTAGCCACCGTGGCTCCCTGAGAAACGAGAGTAACTACATACAGTGAAAGATACATTATGGGAGATTAGATAAAGAGCTGACAGTTATCACTATAATAGTTAAAAAATAGATAATGTAATGGGAATTTGCTGAAAATTCCAGTCAAATTGGTCCACTCTGAACCGAGGTTTTAGCGATTGAATTTTCGGCCTAGCCTCGATCATCATTACTAAAGTCGGTACGACAAAAAACATAGTACCGATTATCCATTTTTTGATTTAATTATCAATGAGCGTTAAGCAGCAGATCGGATCCTAATCTAGTAAATATAGGACACTAGCGATGACATCAAGAGTTGATTATGGTCTGGATAAGTTAATTAATGTATAATTAATAATTTAGATAACATTTCTGGCCTAAAGAAAGGCGTGCAATTGGCAGATTTAGCTCTTGCATTAAATGTATGTTTAAGGTTCAAAGCCACTTTTATAATCATTATACCAACACAGCAGGAAACACAATACATACATTGCAAACATCAAAACAAACTGTTAATGGATTCTACTGAGCTTTAAATCTTCTTAAGAAAATATCCACAACCATTCTATCTACTAAATAATATCAAGTTCTTAATCTCGTAACTCCATACTTGATGCGTTAAGCTGATCACTTGTATAAGGTATTGTCAGATTAAAGGTATTTTAGACGCCCACAATACAGCTACTATAAAGAGGGATTTGGTGTAAGGGTCATAGAGAAGGATTTGTATCCAGACCGCTACCGGTTCGAGACGCGATCAAGTAGTCCTTCGAGTTCTCGCGTTCTTGACTTAAGACAGCCAATCTCTTAATTCCCTTATATGGAGACCGATTAGGTTCGTGTAAGCAATTACACAAAAATAAAAATGTTGAAATCTTTCTAAGATTTGGCCACCGTAAACCATTGACTCTAATGTGAATGTTAACTCTTGTCTCTTTATGGGGGTCACGGTGGGTAAGTCGATGGCTCGCTGTCTAGTCGCTCGGATGGGATGGAAAACCGAGGCCCTGTGTACACATGGGCGTGCACGTAAAAGATCCCTTGACAGTTGGAATTTGATATAAGAGTAGGCCGTAGTGCCGCTGTCCCTCATAGCATACTGTATTAGCTCAGTTCGGAGCAGAACAGTAGGACGTTAAACCCCATTTCATTTCATTTCGTCTCTTTACCCGGATCTACCCTTTCTCCAAATTTCTGTTTCAAAGGGGGAAACGAGAAAGAATATTAATTACTTTTGCACTACAGTTGGGACTAACATATGGTTCAGTTTTATTTCAATAATTCGCTTCCGCGTGGGGGCTTTTAACAGTGGGGGAACCGGAGGATCTCAAGAAAACCCACGAGGTTGGACAGGCGATCCTACCCCTTGGTTAGTACAAGCGATCCTACCCCTTGGTTAGTACAAGCGATCCTACCCCTTGGTTAGTACAAGCGATCCTACCCCTTGGTTAGTACAAGCGATCCTACCCCTTGGTTAGTACAAGCGGGGAATCGAAATCACGCCACTTGACTCGTTAACAGACTATTGATCCAATGCGCACGCTACCCCCCCCCCCCCACCCGGTTTCTAGAAATAAAGGTAATGATTGTGTAGAACTTTAAGTATAACGCTGGGGTTTAACGTCCACTCAGCAAAAACTAGGCCTGCTTCTGCATCCGGTGATCCGCCCCAAACCCCCACCCTTACTAAATACTCCTACACGCAAGCGCATTGTTGAAATAAAATCGTGCCATATTACAGTCCCGAAGTGGACTTTAAACCCCATTTCGGTCGCTCTCTCTCTTTCCATTAACCGAGACAGCCAGAGAAAATAAAATGTCTGAACATTAATAGTGCAACGTGTACCTATTATCAATAAACGTACCGAAAAATAAATCTTTCAATTATTCAAAATCGATCGTCAAGACAACCGGAAGTAAACAACATGTCTAAACTACCCACACATTAAAAAATACAACACGTGGTTCATTAGTCTGTTTACATTTTATCTTTTGAAATAACTGTATCGAAATATTAAATCTCGACATAAAATCTCTCCAGCTGTGAAGCCGATTCGAAAGAATAATTGATAACGTAAAAAGTTGACATGCAATTTCTCGGTTGAAGGGATTCTGTCGTTCAGCTATTCGTTTCGGTTCTCGCATTCTCTGTTTTACTGACAACCCGTCGGTAAGCTGACGTTTTCTCTCCATTAAGGAACAGCCAAGCAGTAAATCAGACTTCAATCCGTGAAAATAAATATTTACAGTTGAACTAGATTTGAGGTTGTTCGGTTTACTTTTTATTTATTTTTTTTAGGTCTTTTTTTTTGCGGGGGTGGGGGTGGGTGAGGCAGAGTTGGTCTTATTCAGAATGGGTCATATCACTGAGTCATGGTAGTAAAACTTATATCATAGTTAGATAAGCGCTTTCTCTGAGGTCCACTTAGCGTCGATACGATTCATGAAATTACATTTATCTCTTCTAGATTCATTCGCTTCACTTTTTAATTTACGCAATTGCCAGACCAGCAGACGACCGGTGAGACATTATGAAACAGAAGAAAATATTATGACAATCTCTGATTCGTTGATAATCTCTATGGATATCGCTTGATGCCAGTCTGATTTCGTCCATGAGTTAAAATGTTCACATTAAGTGATTATTTGATGGATTCAGATAACGCTCCATTACATGTAGCAACCAGGCTTGAGGAATGGTTAATTACGCGTGGCTTGTAACATGGCCGCTCATACAGATTGCATTTAATGGCGCTAGACAACTCAATGCGAAGATAATGGATGACGTCAGTGAAGCGGAAAGGCAACATTAAATATTTGTAACGTAATGTGCATGTATGTTTCGATCGTGGGTATTTTTTTCATCTGCTTGACATGTTTTTTTCGCAATTGAACTATGGATGTGTTTAGTGTTAATAATAAGGTGACAAGTTAGGTGACAGCGGGGGGCTCTTATACATAGGGGATTGATAGGATCTAAATCTATTTGTTAAGGCCAGCTCAATACCATTCTTGTAACTGAATAATATGTCCAAATCTTTATTCTGGTCAACAAATTGTACTATTACACAATATTCCAATTAATTGATGATACAAATTTCATCTTAACACACCTAATTTAAAAAATTGGAAAAATTCAACTAAATGATTTAAAAAGCCTGACGTAAAGCTTTTCAAATGTTACTTGGATTTAAAAATATTGTTGAACCCTCTGGGCAAGTAAAATAGGATTTAATGGATAATTTACACAACGGGTAGGACACTTAAACATCTAGTACTTAGAATATGGCTATTTTCTTATTTTCTGGAGCTGTCAAGCCAGCAAGAATGTTTATTGTCCCTTTAAATTGGTTAGCTAACATAAGGTTTATAATCCTTGAGTGGCATTTAGTGATTGAGCACATTAAAAAACACAACACAATTTATATGGAATACAATCACTGGTTTATATACATATAGCACAATTTATATGGAATACAATCACTGGTTTATACACATATAGCACAATTTATATGGAATACAATCACTGGTTTATACACATATAGTACGACGTCCCAACAAGTATTCTCTTATCGTTACCAAGTACAAATGATTAGTACTTGATAACGATAAGAGAATACTTGTCGAAACGTCAGGCTATATGTGTATAAACCAGTGATTGTATCCATATAAATTGTGTTGTGTTTTTTAACATGAGGTTTGTTTACAGCGGTACTATGGAAGCCTGTTGCGGCCATTTTATATTAACATTTCACAGCGAGAAGTTGAGGGGCAAAGGATATAGAAGTTGAGGATGAAGGAGCGAAAAATTAAAATTTCAAACAGGTCGCAACGGGTTTCCATAGTTTACAGAAAGCAAAATTATTGAGAGATAGACAGCGGTCATTATTCAAGATCTCTTTACAGATGTGACATCATCCTTTGATGTTGGCAATGTGCCAAGCGTACATTATTTAATATTAGTTGAAATATTGGACCTGCGTGACGTATTTCATTGAAATGCACGTGCTGGATATTGTCTATATTTTAAATTGTTTAATGGTCTCGTGCATATATTACTTAACGTCTCGCCCTCGACCATTAAACTACACCGGATGTAAGTAAAAGACCCCCCCCCCTCCCAAACAGCTCTGAACGTTGGTCTATTTTGATAAGTTTCAAGAAACGTGATGTATGCTGTTTTTCGCGTTTTAAGGTATTTTATAACCGACTATTGTTTGTCAAAGCTACTTTGTCAGTGGTCCTTTAAAACCTCAAGACTAAGGAAAGGATCAGCTTTTCTAAAATAAACCCCACAGTAAATGTTGTGCAAATTATAGAAAAGGTCACGATGGGGTCTCTGAGTGTAAGTCAATGGAATGGCCTAGCTAGTAATGAGGTCGTCTAACAGGAAACTGTGTTGCAAGGACAAAACGAAAACTGTTTCAACCGGTACATTGTTACCCGTAACAAAGTCTTTCCGTGACAAAGTTTGAACAGAACTCTATCTAATCACGACTCTGTTTACGTTCACCAATCTCAACAGAGAACATTTTTCGTGACTATTGTTCTGTAGTTAGCAAATCTCCGATTACCAGCCAGTGAATATAACGTCGTATTGATCGCTAACGCTTACAATAAACTCCCTTAGATCCGCCATATTGATTTTTTCCCATAGTGCAACGCATATTGTATTGACTTGTCCCATCATGCAATGCGTTATCAGATCCCCGACTTCATTCAGTCGTTATTGAAAAGTGGGTGCTTTAACAAACTAGAAATCTTCGAGTACATTTCCGTCTTTGACAAAAATCTCCGTTGTGGGTTCACTGTTTGAATAAATTCTCGGCTTTTTATCATCCAGTATTGATTGCGATTTTCTGAGATTTCTTGCTCTTTTGTGCCGCGTAAGAACTTCCTGCCCTAGAATGTTTTGTAAATAACCCATCAGACATCATTTGTTTTATAGAGAATTGTATTGAAACCAGTGACTGGGTGTAGAAGAAAAGACAGATGAAGCTAACCATTGTTCTATGTTTTACAGGACAAAATGCATTTAATATATCAGCTTCTTTCTTTTGTCAGATATTGAGCGCCATTTTGAAATATTTACGATAAACATGGTCGGTTTGACTTACCTCGGCGACATCGGGAATATGGGCACCCTGTTGATTTCAACTTACTGAATTACGAAAACACTAGAACATATGGGCGCACTGGTGATTTCGACTTACTGAATAATGAAAATACTAAAACATATGAGCGCACTGGTGATTTCGACTTACTGAATTACGAAAACACTTGAACATATGGGCGCACTGGTGATTCCGATTTACAGAATTACGAAAACACTAGAACATATGGGCGCACTGGTGATTTCGATTTACGGAATAACGAAAACACTAGAACATATGGGCGCACTGGTGATTTCGATTTACGAAATTACGAAAACACTAGAACATCTGTAACGAATTCACTTTTTTCGATACGTGTTCAAGATATTGTATACTGAGAGTATACGATAACGACGACGAATGATGCATGAGCTTAAAGTAAATCTAGTTAAAAGACGCCTGCACCCCCCCCCTTCCCAATCCCCCACCCCCGTCCTACTTCCCGTCATTTCACTATACACCCACTATCAATATATGTATTATATTGCTAACGTTCGAGTGGTAAACTTCTAAACAATAGAGTAACTATACAATTGTTTAAGGGAATAAGAACAAACAACTTTACGTAATCGTAGTGAGGCAACTGGTAGGTTTGTTTACAAGTTAGTAACGTGTTTCTATTGATTTGGGAGCTTAACAACTCAAAGATATATATACCAAAGAAAACATGCAGTTCTTTAGTTACAATTACTTTTTATATTTCAGTTTCTAGGGATTTGTTATTTTCATTTTAACTTTATTCTGTAATAAGTAATGTATTTTTATCATAGGTTTACTAACTATATACATTTTAGAAACCTGACCGGGCCCCAAGTTCACAAAGCTTTCTCGGTTTCTCGTACCATCCAAACAACTAGACAAGATTCCACGAGTCAGTCCCTCGTGTACGCTCGTACCACCACTAACAAGTTGGAAGCAGGCTTAATAAATCCTGAGATTCTTCAATTCAAACTGGGAACCTGGGGCCTGTTTCACGAAATTTTAACTAAGATAAAATCCAAAGTTTAGTAATTTGATTGGTTAAACATACATTATGCAAGAGCAAAATCTGCTTATTACAAGTCTTTCTTTAGGCCTGAAATATTATCTAAATTATCAATTAGACATTAATTAACTTATCCAGACCATAATAAACTCTCGATGTCAAGGCTAGCCTTCGATGTTGGCTGGATTAGATTCCTATTATGCCGCTAACGGCCATTGCCAATTAAATCAGAAAAAGTGGATAATCGAGACTATGCTGTTATATTAATGATTTTAGTAATGATGACCGAGACTATGCAAAAATTTCACCCGCTTCTTTCTCGGCTCATAGTGGATCACGAGGAACAGGGTCCTGGCCATGAGTTCACACAACATTCTCAGACTTAAGTTGAGAATTTACTCAACTTTCAATCACTGTTTACGAGATATATCCTTGATCCAGAAACCCAAAACTTTGCACATAGTTTCTTATTAATGTATTAGATACATTAAAACAACAAAAGTTTTCTAAAGGGCTATATCTATCTATCTATCTATCTATATATATATATATTTGTGACTGTCGTTTGTCTGTCTGTCTGTCTGTCTGTTCGGGGTTGGCGGCTACACAAGGTCTGCCCCGACTCTGAAATTTGGGGTATAGGGGTAGCTCGGACCGGGGAGTAACATAGGCCAGGTGGCTTTAGTCTACCACTTCCGGTTTCGGAGTTATGACCCCCGAGCGAAGTCTGTCTGTTCGGGGTTGGCGGCTACACTAGGTCTGCCCCGAGTCTGAAATTTGGGGTATAGGGGTAGCTCGGACCAGGGAATAACATAGGCCAGGTGGCGTTAGTCTACCACTTCCGGTTTCGGAGTTATGACCCCTGAGCGAAGTCTGTCTGTTCGGGGTTGGCGGCTACATCTGCCCCGAGTCTGAAATTTGGGGTATAGGGGTAGCTCGGAGTAACATAGGCCAGGTGGCGTTAGTCTACCACTTCCGGTTTCGGAGTTATGACCCCCGAGCGAAGCCGGTCTGTTCGGGGATGGCGGCTACACAAGGTCTGTCCCGACTCTGAAATTTGGGGTATAGGGGTAGCTCGGACCGGGGAGTAACATAGGCCAGGTGGCGTTAGTCTACCACTTCCGGTTTCGGAGTTATGACCCCCGAGCGAAGTCTGTCCGTTCGGGGTTGGAAGCTACACTAGGTCTGCCCCGAGTCTGAAATTTGGGGTATAGGGGTAGCTCGGACCGGGGAGTAACATAGGCCAGGTGGCGTTAGTCTAGTCTACCACTTCCGGTTTCGGAGTTATGACCCCCGGGCGAAGCCGTTCTGTTCGGGGTTGGCGGCTACATTAGGTCTGCCCCGAGTCTGAAATTTGGGGTATAGGGGTAGCTCGGACCGGGGAGTAACATAGGCCAGGTGGCGTTAGTCTACCACTTCCGGTTTCGGAGTTATGACCCCCGAGCGAAGCCGGGTATCCTGCTAGTTTTAGTTAAAATAAAGCGGACAATTTTGAGTAAATTCTTAACTTAAGTCTGAGAATGTTTTGTGAATTATGGGCCAGTTATTCCCGTATTTCGTTCCATATCCGTTTGTGAACACTGGGCCAATTATTTTCGTATTTAGTTCCAGAGCCGTTCTGTGAACCCTGTGCCAGTTATTTTCGTATTTAGTTCTAGATCCAGAGATCTTCTCCTTATAGTATTATAATTATGTATTATATACTTACCAGAAATAGCGAAACCGCTGAATCCGACTGCGAGTGTTAAACATACAACCGACGTAGTAGTATCTCGGGCAAACGCAACACCAAGTAGAAACACTGCTTCCATTCCAAATCCTGAAAAATAAATATTGTATCTATAAAGTCACGGTGATTAAAACTCTGTTAGTTTATAGTAGAATTTAGGCCTAGGAGAGAGAGAGAGAGAGAGAGAGATGGGTTTAACGTCCACTCGACACAAACTAGGTCATTTCGGGACTAACACACGGTTTATTCTTATTACTATAATTCCCTTGCGCGTAGAGGTCTTTAACAGTGGGAGGAAACCGGAGGACCCGGAGAAAACCCACGAGGTTGGACAGGCGACCCTATACTCCTTGTCACGTACAACCGGGGAATCGAAACCACGCCAGACCTTATGATACAGCGCGCACGTGCCAACCATTCGGCCATCCAGCCCACACTATTATATATAGCAGTATAAGAAATGGTGGGTTATGGTAGTTTATATAGTAGAATCTAGGCCTACTATTCCATACAGCAGTATAAGACATGTGGGACATTTTAGTCTATATAGTAGAATCTAGGCCTTCTATTCTATACAGCAGTATACGAAATGGTGGGATACGGTAATCTCTGTGCAATTTCCTTCGCTCTCAGAAAACAGATCTCTAACTTCCTTTTTTTCAACATAGCACTTTGAATATGCCTAATTTATAATCGATCAGGGGGGGGGGGCACGTGGCTAAGTGGGTAAGACGCTGGTCCGCTAGCCTGGAGGTTGGGTGTTCGATCCCTGCATTGGCCGAGAAAGTTCATCCAGATTTTCCGACGTGGTTTCCCCTTGTCAGTGATGGAGGACGGAGGGCCTGACAAGGACAGCTGTCTGGTCGTTCGTATGGAACGAAAAACCGAGGTCCCGTGTACAAATTGGCGTGCACGTAAAAGATCCCTTGTGAGTTGGAATTCAATATAAGAGTAGGCCGTAGCAAAGCTGCGCGGGCTAAATTTCCCTCATAGCATACTGTATGGCATATGTCCGTCTTCATTAGCCCAGTTTAGGAGCAAAACAGTATAGGACGTTAAACCCTATTTCATTTCATTTCATAATCGATCAATGACCGGAAAGCAACACAATAATTTAGCATTGTAGTTTTTGTTTTTCCCCCTTGATTTGATCTGGTCCTTTTCGATGCCCATGTGTACGTGACAAGGAGTAGGGTCACCTGTCACACCTCGGGAGAGGAGGGGGGACTCCGCCGCGGTTTCCTCCCACTGCTAAAGACACCTACGCGCAAGCGAATTATTGAAATAAGCTTGAACTATAATGACCTAGTGGATGTTACTCTCTCTCTCTCCTTTTCTCTCTCTCTCTCTCTCTCTCTCTCAGATATAACGCCTCGTTAGGGGAAGTTACATTGTTAACATATTTACTTATTTCTGTATAATCTTTATTTAATTGGAAACATTTGTTGATTTCATAACCCCCAAACTGCTTCCTATCTTTCGATATAAGTTGGTCTATTTTAATTATATTTTTTTTAAAACGTAAAATATTATCAAAAGTAAAACATATTAAAACTGGTGTGATCATGTGTTGGGGAGGTTTTATCAGAAGATGAAACCTCCATAATCGTATTATTATTTTATCGTTCAGGGAGAGATTACATGGCCGTCTTATGAGATAGTGTTATAATTGGCTTTAAGCAGAAAAGAAAACAAAAAGTCATTGCCAGTGATTATAGAAGGCAGCTTATCTCAGCGGTTACTCGAAGGTTGGTGTAAAAAGTGGGATTGAGATAACGCGAAAAACGCCACGAAAAATTCATTAAATGGCTTCAAGTTAGCAAGTTAGAGAACGGGTCTTAGAAGTTGTCGTGGCGAAATTCATTAAATGAGTAGGAATGAGATGAAGACAGAGCTATAACACCCCAGGACGTACAGACATTGCTTCGTGCAACTTTAATTAGCTTCACTGCGATTAATAAATGGTCAATAAAGCGGATTTAAGTCAAGCACGCAGAGGGACCTAAAGCGAAACGAAAAGCTTGTAAGTCGGTGAACGGGGGAATCGTCAGATCTACGATCATTGGCCAGAAGCACAGATGAGAAACCAACTCAATTAAATTAGAGAATGGCTACTGGAAATGAAAAACGGGATCTTATTGATACCAGCACGAAATGTTGCTTAGTCCCAGATCTCTGTCTTCTCAACGACGTGATTTCATGCAACTTTTTTCCTCGTGGTTCCAAATAGGAGCAATGGCAGACGGAAGAATACGCGGACTTGATCAAAAAGTCTGTAAACTATGGCCACGGTCTCGTATTATCTCATTTAGATGTCACGTGGTGTGTGAATTGATTTATGATGTGAGAACAATGTTATAAAGGTCGATTGTTTGGTGGTCGGACAGAAGCACGTGACCCTTTCAGACTAATTACTAATCAGTTATTTTCACATTCATAAACATTAACAAAATTTCCAGAATAACGCCGCCACCATTGCTATCAGTAGATCAGAATCTGAATCTATATCCGACTTTTGGATCGATATATCATTTAATTTATCATGTCATTGGTTTGTCATCGAGATTTTCCGGTGTGGTTTCCTCTTGTCAGTGGTGCAGGATGGAGCGACATGTACTAAGCAGAGTATGCTTACATTTTTTTTAAATTAAAAAAGTTCACTTCAGGTTTATTTGAGAATAAAAACTGAGTTCTACACAGGGGTTATACACCATCTGGCAATCAGACAGAACTTTTGACGAGTGACATGCACTAAGTAGAATATGCTTACTCTTTTTAAAAATTAAAAAAATCACTTCTTAATATATTTGAGAAGAAAAAAACGAGGTCCCGTGTACGTGTACATATTGTACACATTATGTGCACGTAAAAGAATCCTTGACAGTTGGAATTCGATATAAGAGTAGGCCGTAGTGCCGCTGTCCGAGCAAACTTTTCCCTCATAGCACATTGTATGGTGTATGCCCGTCTTCATTAGCCCAGTCGGTGCAGAACAGTAGACATTAAACCCCATTTCAAACACAGAGAAAATGAGTGTGAAATAGGAGTAACGAATTGGATTTTATCACAAAATGCTGAATTAGAAGAAATATTTGATTATGAAACGTGGGATTTCTCCAAGAAAATTTCAATTTGTCAAAAATGGCCGACGGCGGTAAACAACAAAAAGGCGGGACCCAGAGACACAAAAAGACACAGTTCTGTAAACTACCTTGCGAAAATTATAAAATTTTGTGGCAAGTCGTCATTTTTTAATAGTCCATAACTAAGCCCTGTAGTTTTTAAAGCGTTGCTAGCAGCAATTCAGCAGCATTTTTTTATTTGAGCAATTGTAGCAGCTGATAACACTTGTACTTTAAAATTTAGCCAAATCAGCCATTTTAGAAGAAGAAAATATTAAGGAAAGAAGTATTTATTTTATCAATGAAACTATTAGTATTAACTAGAGCAGATCTAGATTAATTAAAGACAAAGAATCGAGGCAGAACTAATGGAATCAGGTTTAAAGAGAAAACTCAGCAGAACCATTCACAACTCAATAATAGTCCTTGAGTTGCATTTAGCGACTGGGCACGATAAAACTAAAAAAAAAAATATAAACCCTAACATTTATATGGAATGCAATTACTGGTTGATATTGCACAACGTTTCGACAAAGTTTTTTTTTATCGCTTAGGCACAATAAAACTCAACAAACATTTATATGGAATGCAATCACCGGTTGTTGTACATAGCGCGATTTATCGATTTAGCACAATAAAACACAACAATCATAAGCACTGTTTACACTTGGCCGTGATAAGCTTGCCGTTCTCGGCACGGTACTGCAGGCCGCAAAAAATTTCAAGTAATTGACTCGTTTGCATTACCCTAAAATAACCGGGCTCGGAACCGTGCCAGGCACGCTAAATCTGGAACTCTTCAAAGAAAAGTTAATTTCAGTTCCTATACAAAGTACTTGGATGAAAAGAATTATGGAGGTTGATTTAGTTTGGGCAGCCATTTTAACAGAAGTGATGACAGAACAGTTACTGTCAAAGTTCGCGGGAAAAAGGTCAAGGTTCATTTGGCGTATGCGCAGTAATTCGTACTGAGAACCGTTCTCAGACTGGATAGGGTTTACACAACGCAAATTCCGACATATTTCTCTTATTACATTAAATTTTGTGCTTGACAACAATAAGAACTGGTCGAAATGTCGTGTTATGTGTATAGCAACCAATGACTGTACTCTTTATAAATGGATTATTGTGTTTCACTGAGAACTCAACAAAAATTTAACACCAGGTGCGATCATATTGTGGCAGGGGACATTAGGTCATTTAACCCCCATCAGGACTAAATTATAATAAAAATTTAGTTCTACTATTGTATGAATGGTTTAGTCATACTTTGTTTAACGGAGATTTATAATGGGCCTTGAGAAACCATTTCTCTTTTTTTGATAATCCCCAACCTCGTGGGTTTTCTCCGGTTCCCCCGGTTTCTCCCCACTGCTAAAGGTCTCTACGCGCAAGTGAATTATAGAAATAAAATTGAACCATATGATAGTCGCGAAATGACCTAGTTTGCATCGGGTGGACGTTAAACCCTATTCCCCTCTCCCTCCCCCTCTCTCTCTCTCTCTCTCTATCTCTCCCTCTCTCTCTCTCTCTCTCTCACACACACATACACACACTTTTAATGGGGTGTAGTTATTTCTTTAAATGGGGTGTAGTTTAAATGGAGTGTAGTCTTCCCTTTAAATGGAGTGTAGTTTTCTTTTTGAATGGAGTGTACTTTTCCCTTTGTATTGACGGTAGCTTTCCTTTAGAATATCAGGTAGTTCCCCCTTTTAATGGATGTTACTTCCCCCTTTGTTTTACGACATTACAGATACCGTATCTTTAGCCATAACTGTAGTCAGTGCAGGAAGGTGAATTTTCCTATCGATCATAAAGATCACGGATATCCGGATATCCGATTATTTATTGGTTGTTGTCAGCAGGAAGAATCCCCGGTAGTATTTAATTAAATTTTCCAAATTATTTAGGTTTCGATTTTCGTTACAATGAAACCGGGGATTAGGTAATATTGATTTGTTATGTTTA